GGTTTGCGCGGGGCGGCGGGGTGGGAGCTGGCGGTGTCGCTGTCCCCGCGTTTGCTCTCTGGCCCTTAACTGCCTCCCACAGGGAACATGATGGCTGCGCTGCAGGCAGCCCTGAAGAACCCCCCGATCAACACAAAGAACCAAGCGGTGAAGGTGAAACCCTAAATAACTTACTCCTTGGGCTGCTCTTTAAAAATCCTTTTCCCTTTCCGTAACTCCTGCCCCTAGGTGCGCTGTGAGGAAGGCAAGAAACCTGCGCTAGGGTATTCACTGATGTTGAAACGTCATGGCTTCTGCTGTTTTAAGCGTGATCAAAAAATTGCAGCTCGCCTGGCACCTGTGCACGTACCTCCGACGTGGAGCTAGCTCCGCTTGGGTGCAGGTTTTTCAACCAGCATGAATTCTGTATCGTATGCCCTAGCTCACTCAACGCGTTACCGCGCGCCCGCGTCTGATCCAGGTCAGGTCCGTACTGCTGGAGCCGGCAGCACAGAGATGCAGCGCTTGAAGATTCAGGAACCACTGCTTCGGCAGTCATCTCTGACAAATGCTAGCGTGGCCAGGCTGCACACCTACAAAAAAGGAAGAAACGATAGCTATTGCATCCAATCAAAATTAAGCTGTTAAAAGCGTAGAAAATGCAGGCACTCCCCCTGTGACAGAATTGGGAGTGCGCTGTATGCACGTACTTCCAAATCGGCACGAAATAAACCTTGAATAGATCATGGTTCAGCAGTGAGAGGAACAGGCGGATAACACTAGCAACTGCCTGGCTGGTGAGCCTCTGCGGAGGTTTGTTCCTGCTGCTTCAACCACAGGCAGATTTCTGTGCTTCTCTAGTACCACACTATCCTCAGGAGACTGCCAGTGAAGACTTTTCACTGAGCCCTCTGCTGTTGTTATACAGAGTATTGCTGGTATTGATTACAGGTAATCACCATTTAAAAGACTGCACGGCTTTATCCTCACGTTAATGACTTTTTCCCATTAGATCTGTACTGTTGTAATTGACAATAGAGTGTGAAGGCAGTGGGGTCACTAAAGGTATAGCCATGGATTTTTCATGTTTGGCTTCGTTTTTAGTTGATCTTGTGGGAGGTTATTTTGTGTTTTCACTTACAGTTCTTCATAGGTGAAGTCTCATCAAGCCAAGTGGCATGGGGACATTAAACAAGAAAACTAACATCTGTAATTTCTGTAGGAAGAAGTTGCTTGAAGTATTTTGATAATGGGATAGTTCAAAACTAACAAACCTGAGACCTGTCTTCTTTTATTTTCCTTCACTTAGTGAGGAATGAGAAAGAGGAGCTCTTTTTTTTTTTTGCTGATTACACAGCTAATCTGCAGCTCTAAGCGTGCCACACAAATTCCTGGGCCTGAAAAGACATCCACATGAACTTGCAAATGGTTATCAATGCAAAACGTTATTAATGCTGCCAGTTTGCCTCCTATGTGGATGGGACAGAAGCTGACTGTTTTTGAAATGCGTGGCTTTCGGGAGTCACCTTTAACTTAGGTTGACCGATACCGTTTCCATGGAATAGAGTAATTCTATCGCATTAAACAGTACAAAAGCATGGAAAAGGCTTTGGTGACAAGGCAGGTCAGTAGCCAAATATTTAATTCTTATAACATATTTCTGGAACTTCCCAGACATTTGAGTTTTGATATGCAAATTGAGTACTATTTAGCCCTAACTTCATATAATGGGTAGAAACATACAAGCAGAAGCGGAGAGGCAGAAAAACCTAGAAGAGAACAAACTTGTTAAACTCTTTTTCACTGTTTGTGTTGGGACTGGCCTTCTGATTAAGTATTAGCTTTCCTTATAACCAGTTTTTAAGCTGAACTTGGATAACTTGAGTTAAATAAAAAAAAATTCCAATTATTTATCTTCAGATCTAGAATTGTAGGTATGTGGCAAAGTTAATTAGACTGTACGCCTGTTGGAGTTGCACATTATGTTATACATTATGTACAGGCTGTTACACATTATGAATACAAGCTGGTGGTGGTGTACAAACTACATTTTTTTCAAAAAGTGTTTTAGAGTTGTTAAAGAGAAAAGAGTAGTTCCACTTGCACAAGAGATGACTAATATTTGGATGCACGCTATATGAGAATGAATGCATCCCTGCCTCTCTTACTTCCTCACAGGATCGTGCAGAAAGTATTGTCCTGAAGGTCCTCATCTCTTTCAAAGCCAATGATATTGAGAAAGCAGTGCAGTCACTGGATAAGAATGGTGTTGATCTGCTAATGAAGTACATCTACAAGGGTTTTGAGAGCCCTTCTGACAACAGCAGCGCTGTGTTGCTGCAGTGGCACGAGAAGGTGCGTTCTCTTGACTGGGTTGTTCTTAGTAGCAGATTCTTGGGACCAGGGCACACTCACTGAGCCTGGTTAGAACGATCTTTCTGTTTGGTAAAGCTGAAATGCCATATTTCACACAGTGAGAAGGGCATGGTCCTGCAGGTTCACAGTTGAATTATACCAGATCCCTTACTATTTTGATTCCTTGGGTAAAGATTCTACACTTAAAATTTGATTTGTTGTTCACTTAAAATTTGATTTGTTGTTAGATGGAGGTAAATGAAGTAGCTTGTTCTAGTGATTAAAGCAGATGGAAGTAGAATTTCCTTCCTAGAGGGAAGCAAAATTTGCAACTTGGTTATACAGGGAAATAGAAGCCTGCTAAATAGCTATTTTTAAAGTGAATGTGGTTATACTTCCCTAGCGCCCTGGGTGCTGATTTTGCACTTTAGGTAAACAGCTGGGAGATGCTAATTTGAAACACAGTCTGGAATCTGGAAGGTCCTACTGTGAAGCAGTTGTTTCAGCCTGTAGTCACCTTGACTTTGTGTTAATTGCCATGTTTCTTTTCTCAGGCCCTGGCTGCTGGAGGAGTGGGGTCCATTGTCCGTGTTTTGACTGCCAGAAAAACGGTTTAAGTCCAGCAACAAATGGTTGTCTGCCACCTGTGGCTGTGGGAAACGCTGGTACAAAAACCGAACAACCAAATGCCATTGCTGCCCTGTGGGCAGCTTCTGTCTCTCAGCTTGCCTTCTTGCTGCTTCTTTCATATCTGACAAATAATGCATATCTTGATCTCTCTTTTGTTGAACTCTGGAAAATTATGAAGGTGCAATTTTATTTCTAACAGGAATATTTGGTACTCGAGAGCATTTCAGTGACATGTATAGCTACATATACAACTTCATGTTTAGGATGATTTGCATTTGTGCATAACTACAGCAGATTTGAACCTGACTTTCCAAGCAAATGCTGAGGGACATAGGGCAGTGTCTTAATTCTTTTTGCTAGCCAAGCAGTGTTTTGATGTAAGATATATATATATATTTGAGAAGTGGGGCAGCTATTAATATAGGTAACTGGACCATGTTTCTCTTGGTCAACCTCTGTACCTACAGCAGTGAATAGGACAGAAGGCAAGGCTCCCCTCCAAACCTGATTATCATTCCAGGAAGCTGAGTATGTTTTTTCCTTAATCTCACATCTCAGGGCCTAGTCTGGTTTCTTGTGATCAGTCAAAGGCCAAGTCCACTGTTGGAAAGACACAATAGGATGAAATTGTCTGTTGTGCAATTTGGATGGCAGAATTTAAAAGGCTGACGGGCTGTTTACAATAGCGCCTGCTCCAGTGAACTCTTTATTCTGGGGAGCAAAGATCCTGATGAGAAGAAAAAGGGGCTTTCACCCAGCAAATCACCTTTCAGCAACTTGAAAGTGATTTGATTTTGTCAAGCACAACATAATGGCTGCCTGTGGTAATCTAAGAAATTCATACTGGTATCTGCACCATCCTTTGCAAAGCTCCCATGTTTTATTTTCCAGATATATAGGGTCTTAAAGGATCCCAGAAAGTTTACATTCCTGTTGTATTTTACCACAGTGTGTTAGCTAGTGGGCAAATTAAGTCCCAGCATAGCGAGGAGTATTTTAAAAAGAATTAAGCAAGCCTAGAGCATCCCAGACCACAGATCACCTTTGAATGTTTAGGGCCAGGGCTTAAATACACTTGTTTTACATGCACCATTTTACAGCCATTCAGTTGTGTAAAACTGTTCAGAAACTTGTGAAATCTTTGCTGTTTTTTGATATCTGCTTTTTTTTGTAATAATAATAAAGACCAGACAAGAAATTGTCACTGAATAGTTATGTAGTGTCTAAAATGATTGGAAAATGGTTAGAATAACCGTGACTTCTTTAGTCCAGCATGGTGCTTTACAAGGACTGAGAAAAGTAAAAAAAGCAGTCCCTAAAAATCCTGTTTTCCCCTCCATGATTCTTCTTGATACGCCTTCTTCAGAGCAGTTATTTGTACCTGTAAGCAATGGTGGTACTTGCGCAGCTTAATCCAGCTGGAAAACTTGAGATTATTTCAGTAAAATATTTAAATAACAAGAAATGTTCCAAAGCAGATGCCTCTGCTTACACTAAAATTTTAGCCAGAGGGTGAGATCCTCACAAACATCTATGTTACATGCTTTGTCAAAACAGGAGCAAAAAGAGGAAAATGGTCATGGCCTAGCAGGGTCGTCACGTGGAGCTAGACTGCTGATTTTGTGGTTGGGATTTTGTTTGTCTCTTTGCCTGCCCCAACTCCAAATGATGAAACATTTAATTATTGTTTGTACTGTAATTTAAGTACTGATAAAGTCTTGGGCTTGTCCTGGGGGTAGGATGACTCTGTGTGTGTGTGTGTGTGTGTGTGTGTGTGTGTGTATGTACGTCATAAATGACACCATGTACTTGGCTTGAACGTCCGAAGGGACTGAGCATGGAGAAAGCTGGGTTTGAGCGCTCTGATAGCTGAAGGCTGTCTAATACTAGTTACCTACATCACCGCTTCAAAACACTAGAGCTAGTGCCTTCAGAAGATTAAAACCAAATTTTTCCTCGCATGTACCATGGTCACTTAGGAGTGAGTAAGACGACAGCTTTAGTATTCGTGGCTGGTCATGGGATAATTTGCAGGCAGTTTTCCTCATTGGCTTTTTTTTTTTTCCCCCTTCCATCCCACCTACCAGGCAGATGCAAGCAGGCATGCACAGCGCAGCCCTGCTGCTGGACAGCCAGGTGTGCAGCCCTGCTGCTGGAGCAGCCCTTGCTTTTCCAAGAGCCCAGCACAGGGCCTGCCCCGCTTCCTGCCCCTCCTCACCCCACCATTCTCCCCCTTTTCCCTGTCCCTTCTGCTCCAGAGTGCCCATGGGCAGCCAAGAGGCGCTGCGCCCCAGGTCAGCAGTGCCCCAGTGCAGACAAGAAGCCGTGTGGTGGTTACCCTCCCGTGTTTGGTGCTCTACCTTCCTTCCTAGGATGATGCTTCCTGATTCATTTCTTAGAAGAGCCTCAACAGGAGTAGGCACTGGACACACAATGTAAGAACTGTCCTTGCTCCAAAGGCCTTAGAAAATGTCCAGGTTTCAAGCATGTATATAGGAGCAGCTTTGGCCTGGCCCTGGGCAGTAATGGCTCTGTCCTCACAGCTCTGCCAGACAGTGTCAGGTATTCAGTTAGTTTGTTGGCTTCAGTTGGTCCAAGTTTGGTTAAGATGCCCATCAAGTCTTATTTTTAAAAAAGAAACAGTGCAATCCCAGCCAATTGAAAAGCATTTTCTGACTCACCCGATTTCAAAGCAGGTCAGCTACCTCTAGGTGGCATTAGGTAAACAAAAGCTAGGAGCAGACTGTCTGGATTCCCCTCAGAATAGGAAGGATATAAAGTATTTAGAAACATCTATAGCAAATGTGTGTCTTCTGCCTATACGTTCAGGGCTGTGTTAAAAGACAGGATAGCTCTGGGTGTGCCCCAATGTGGGGGTAATAAACAGTGCAAAATTTGCAGGAAGGCATCTCTTTTATTAAAAACTGATCGATAGGGCGGTAAAAAGTAACTCTAATAAAAAGATGACCTCTGGCCTACAACTTCTGCCTGGCTAATAATTCACGGACGCACAAGTACCACAACATGGCGCAAGCAATGAACGAGCCTAACATCAATCTGTGTTTGAACACTGCATTTTCCTTATGTAGGGTTCAGGAAGCCCATGTATATTGAGTATTTTGTCTTAAGCGATTCCTGGTCCCACAAACACACTGAAAGCCCAGCAGAATAGATTCAACTTTGGAAAAGGAAAAGCCTGTCACAAGCCAGCAGCAAAACGTTGCATCCTTTGCGAAACTCAAAGAGTAAAGCCAACTGCAACAAAATTGTTCCCACTACAAGGAGGCGGGGGGAGGCAATGGCTTATTAAGCGCGTTCTGTCCGTTATGCCCACATCGCTTGTGAAGTGATTCATGCTTCATCCACCCCCCATCGGACAGTGGCCGCGAGAGTCAAGAGCGGCGTTACTATCCTTAGTCACCCACCACCCCGCTGATAACGCCAGCATAGTAACACATGAGACCAGGGGCAGCTTCCTCCTGCTCCACAGGCTCTTGCTTTGGTGGGAACGATGCTACCGTGGGTTTTGCTGTTTCTTTTGTAGTCGTGAAAGACGAACCTTACGTGGATGTCTCTGAACTGCTTTGGACACAGCTCTTGAGAGAAGAGGTGTAGCTTAATGAACCGTCAGGCTCTCAGCAGGCTTAAACCCGCTTTCAGGCTCTGCCATAAGGATTTCTCAGCTTAAAGCGTTCCCGAGATGCTTTATGCCCACACATCCCTGGAGATGGAGGCTGCAGGACACGCAAAGAAACATTTAGTTGCAGACAGTCCCATGGCAACCGGCCCCGAGAACCAAAGAGCACACACCTCAGGCTGCAGGAACAGGGAAGGTGGGGGAGCCGATACACACTCGGCCGAGAGCATCAAGTGCTTCCAGCACAGCCAAAATCTACTGTCATCGCATTAACACAATCTGGAGCAGTGAAGTCTGCTGCCAGGTCCAGCCCATGCTATGGAGGGAGTTCACCTAGGAAGTCGCCACCAGCTACCAACAGTCTCCAGGCAGCTGGGGCCAGAGGAGACCATCATCATCTGTGGGGTCAAACTGCGTTCCTGCCACGCTCACTCCCACAGAAGGGCCTTTTGCAGCACCCAGGCAGGAGGGATGCCCAGCGCCCGTCGTGCCGTGGCTCCTGCTGGACCTCTCCTATGGACAAAGGGGTCCCTGCTAGGCACCTTTGAAAGCACTGACTTCCCTATACCATAGCAAGATGCACACTTCGCAAATGTCACACGTCACAAAGTGCCTACAACAGACGCACGCAAGAGCTCCAGGGTTATCCCTGTTCCTGAGCTGAGCGTGCACAACTTGGGTATGGCAGCCTCGGCGCTCGCAGCACACGGTGCTCACAGCAATGGAAACTGATACCAAGAGAAAGCAGCAGGGCAGGGAGGGAGGGAGAGCGGGTGAGAGAAAGAGCAAGCAAAGAGCAAGAGCAGATGAAAGAGCAGAAGAGAGAGAAGCTCGAACCAGAGTAGACGAGCACAAGGACCATCACCATGCAGCTGCCTGAGGGCACCAGGAGAGAGGCCGCAGCAGCAGCGGCAGAAAGCAGTGACACATAGGTTACTAAGAGGATTAACATAAAAGAGCAAGTAACATGGAAAGACGGGCAGGGAAGAAAAGAAAACATTTTTCATTTTGCAAAAGACATTTCCCTTCCTCTTATTAAAAGGAAACCTTCAAGGAAAAATACTCTTTAGAGACCAGACCTACTCCAGGGGAGATGGCATTTGTCGGTCTCTCCTAGGAAGGCTCAGCGCTTCTGAGCCTAATTTGCAAAGCTTCCCAGCGCTGCCTTTAACTTTGGCCTAAGTGTGTCGTAACAGCACCCTTATTAGTCACTTCCCAGTTTCGTAACAGCTAAACACATTACGAGAGAAACTGCTGTCCTCCCACGGAGGATACCGTCTGACGTCTCCAGCTCCCACTAGCTCCTGGGCTTTGACTCATACATCATTTGGTCAAATGGTTACTGTAGTCTTGCTCTCTGCCATCGTGTTTTTGGGAGTGACACAGCAAATAAGGTCCTGCGCACTCAGAGAGCTTAGCTGCAGCCCCTGGACGAGACCTGCCTCCCAGGAAAGTTGCTGCACGCAGATCGGCTCCTCCGTTAAAACTCAGTGAGCTCATTTCCCTCAGTCTTCCCTCAGAAGTCATGTTTTCTAGTACCCTGATCATTCTTTCTTTGGCCTCCTCTCCAGACTCTCTCCAGAAATTATGCTAAACTCTTGCATGCTGTTACTGTACAAACTTAAACGTGACTTCTACATCCTGGCTGGTTCTCTAAGTATTTCCTATCTATCTCTTGGCGATCTCTCTTTGTGCAAGATTCCAAAAATCTCACATGAGAGATGTTACCATCTATATTACTTACTTCCTCTTGGAAATCAACATAGGAGATAAAAAGTTTGCCTAATAAAGTTGGTAAGAGAAAGGGGAACAGATACTCACTGTGTTACTAGAAGGGATGTGTTTATCACAACTTGGAGATTGTTTGAATGTTGTTTGTATGTTTAAAATAAAAAAAAAAATCTCACAGAAGGATGACTGTCATTCTGTGCATTTGCTGTGCCTGCATCTTTCCAACCCCATCTCCTTTCTGTGCAATGCAAAAAAAAAAAAGAAAAAAAAAAGAAACAAACCGCACACATTTGGTTAAAGTTACAGAATTAGAACGTCAGTGTCTGCAGCTACACTTCTCATTTGAATGATGGCTATTAGTCATACACATTATAATGCAGAGCATTTAGGGGCTCTGATTGACTTAGAGCCCAGGGAGGTAGAGTTACTTCTTATATTATGGGTGTGCCAATCTAACGGTCAGCTATTGCCAACAAGGTGATCTCACATCCTCCTCTTTGTACTGGTGCTGGGATCTCTCCGACCTACCAGTGAGAAGATCCGGATAATTAAACTAGCACAAAATCATCCCTAGAATAAAGTGAATATTCTTCTGCTAGATGAGCTCTCCATGGGACGAACAGGAGGGCAGAGAGACCATCCCTCGCAGCAGCCACAAGATCAGCCTAACGAGACCCTGGCAGCTCACCCCTAGCTGGGGCCTATTTCTGCCCTGAAGAGCTTAACAGCTGACTAGATGCACCAAGCCACCGTTATGTGGGGAAAGAAGGAAGTGTGGAGGTTGTGTGTGGATGGAGGAAGGAGAAGCGACATGGAGCAGGTCATATGGCCAGGAAAAGAGTCAGCTGTCCTGAGTCCCAGTGTGGTACCCTTTGGGCGCTGTAACTCGATGCAAACCCTTCAGCTACAGAATGTGTCATCTCCTCAGCACCTAAAGCCTGGAGGGTGAAAGGTTTGCTGCTTCTGAGCATTGAGATATTCCTTTGGAACGAGAAATGTCCTTGGCTTCTAAGTGAGTCTCATTCAAAGGAGTAAGAAGAGGCTACTCTGAGGGCTGTTTTCACACTCACAGATTTGGCATTCCCATCCCTCTCCTTCGGTGTCACTTCGGCAGGCTGCGTTTCCCTCAGCTTTTCTGCAGTTTGCAGCAGCCACATCTCCTCCATGGTGCCCACCGTTGCTGTAGGAAGCCCGCAGAAAGCCCTCAGCTGGGTGCAGAGGGATGCCGAATGGCACACAGCTCGCAACCTGGGAACCAAAGAGAGAGCCCAAGGTTGAGGGATGTGCCCCGTAATACCGGTAATTAAAAATGAGCCCTTGTTGTTTGGCATTTCTGGTTTCTTCCCGCTCTCCGAGTGGAAAGCGAACAAGAGTCTCCTTCAGCATCTCCCTCCTCTTGTTGGTGTTATCTGATTTGATGGGGAAGCGAAGGCAACCATGCAAGGGCTAAGTCTTGCTGACATTATTTCAAGTTTTTGCAAAATACGTTGCACATCACTGTTAGATGATAGAGGGAAAGCACTTCCAGACAAGTGCCAGAAACAGGAACTGGGTGAGGGAACTCAACGCACGAAACCCAATACAAAAGACATAAGCTGGAAGCTATATCTAGATTTTCTAGGCCAGGCCGTGGGCTGTTTTGCAGGCTGGACTTCACCTTCTCCCTTGGGAAGGTAGGATCACACCTGGGCAGCCGTGCCAGCAGGGAGATGCCTTCAGAAACTGTTTAAGCCATTTACCGACTTCCTTCATTACGGGCCACGCTTCACAGAGCCCAGCCGCCTCTCCCCAGCCCAGGCACAGCCCTCAGGCAGGAGCAGCCCAGCAAACCCAAGTCAGACCTGAAAAGCCACTCAGCCGACAAACTCCCCAGCTTTCCATCAAAAGCCCTGAGAAGCAAAACCTGAAGTGCATGACCGCCAGCGTTTGCTCCACTTCCCCATCGCAAGGGCTGCGTTTCACCGCCCCTAAGTGAGGCCACTTCCTGCGGGGTTTGCGACATGGGCGCTGGCACCCACGGCAAATGCAGAAGCGTCACCAGAAGGCAGCAGGGCAGAGGCCGAGCAGCAGCGCGAGGGAGCCCGGGCGCCGCAGTGAAGGACGGGCAGAAAGGCAAGACCTCTGAGGCGGCTGGTGACCCCGTGTCCCGCTCCCATCATGTCACTGGTGGAGACAATCCGGCTCTGGAACGAGGGGGTGTGTGCTGCCGACCAGAGGGAGTGGAGGGCAGCCCTGGCTGCCTTCACATCTGTCCACAACCCCCCTTCCAAACTCTGCTTTAACATTGGCTGCATCCACCTCGTTTTGGGGAACCTCACCAAGGCAGAGGAGGTACGTAACGGCTCTCAGGCACGTGCACTCGCTAGTGCCTTTTAAAAGCTAGTCAGAACAATGCAACGTGGAGCTGACGTGCAGACCTGCTAGGCAGACTGATGGGTGGAAGCTGGAGGAATAAAGGACAACAGCCTGACTAAGGGAAGGAATTGGGGCTTTTTAAAGCTTGGCTGAAGGGTGACACCCTTGGGGCATTCTTGCTGAACTCGTTCTATCAGTGAATCACAGATGAGAAGCAGGAGAGATACACAGCTTTCTGCACGCTCTCACCTCCCTCCTGCAGGCGAACACGGAGGCACAAAGTTGCCAAGTTGACTGGTAACACCTGGTTGTGGATCCCAGAAGTCAGGAGCCTGGTCCCAGGATGCACAGAGTGCAAATAAAGCAGAAGGGCAGATAGGACAGGTCTTTCTGTTCTACATCCTCACCTTTTCTTAAAGCTCTTACCTTCTTGCCTCTTCTTCTCCATTCCTTCTACCTCCTTTCAGGCATTCACACAGAGCATCAGCTGTGACAAGCACCTGGCAGTGGCCTATTTCCAACGGGGGACTGTGTTTTACAAGCAAGAGCAGTAAGTGGAGGGCACTGGATGGGTTGAACGTTTAATTTTGTGCCACTTTCAGAGACACTAGCCCAAAACCCAGAAAGACAGAGAATGCCTCTAGTCCCCTTGAGAGGTCTGAAAACACTCCAAAGAAATGGGAGAGGCTCAGAAAGTTTTTATTGATTTTTGTAAAGACTCAATGGCAAGGAGGTCTACACCTCACACACCAAGACACCCTGTGAAGTGATTCAACACTTGCTTCCAGATTGGAACTTTTCAGAACAACCATAGGTAGATACCACAAGCAGGAACATAAGGTGTGCTAACTCCAGCTTTAACAGGAGAGGGGAGGTTGGTACCAGGACCAGAGGTCCCAGCACTAGGTAGGCCTGGCAAACACAGGTTCCCACTACAGAGAAGAAACACTGGAAGAGCCTGGCGCCTTCAAGGCAAGGACACCCATGATCTCAACCCCAGAACACAAGGCCTGAGGTAAAAGGCCTCTGGCATCCTCCAGACAGGCAACAACTCGGGGCTCAGTGAGGTGCCCTTGAGCAGCACCAGGAAGCCCAAGTGTCACTGGGCATGGTGGTGAAGCCCTAAGTTATCATTTTCCTTTGTTTCGCAGTCACGAAACGGCCATCAAGGATTTTAAAGAAGCATTGGCCCAACTGCGAGGCAACCAGCTCATAGACTACAAGATCCTGGGGCTGCAGTACAAGCTGTTTGCTTGTGAGGTGAGCGAGAGACTGGCGTTTTGGTCCTAATGGGTACAGACCTTACCATGGGCAGCTGGGGCTCTGCTGCCAGCACAGCGCGAGGAAGCACAAACTCCCGAGCTGTTATGGGGATGCTGACGTTTCATAGTCGGCCCAGAAATGCCCAAACAGGCACACAGAAACCTCAGCAAACCACTGTGCCACCTGAGCCAGAGGACATTGTGAGCAGGAACCTTCTGCACCCACGCTGCTGGGTGCTGCACAAAGCACCCCACCAAGCACGTTTCCATGTCACCTTGTGACCTCTCTGGCAGGCCCAGACCAAGAAGAACCTGAGCCCCCCTTGCACTAAATGGATCCCTCAGTGAGACTCACCCCATGGATAAGCAGCTGGTATTTCTTCAACATAGACCCTTTTCTCTCTTCGGTGACCAAGAGCGTACCTCCCATACAGGCAGCAAGGTTGCTTGTCCTATGGCACTTAGGCTGTGGGAGGACAGACCCACTAAAAAAATAAAAGAAAGAGTAGTCTTCCTTCAGCCTCCACACTTTCGCAAGTTTGACCTCACCTGCCTATATAGAAACAGCATTTGGCCTCCAAAGAGCAGCTTTTCACTAGCTCAGAAAAAAAATCTAGGGAAAAACCACCAGTGTCTGTTTGTGCCTAAACCCTAACAAAAAAGTAAGCAAAGTTGGCGCAGGGATGGGGAGCCAGTATCAGCCCAGATAGATATGAGTGTGGCAAAGAATCCCAGCAGCATGTGAGAAGCTTTGCAAAGGGAAGTGAGATGATGATATCATCAAATTACCTTGCTTTATACTCTCTAAAAGGGACGTTGTTAGTCTGTCTCCTTTGGCCAGGGAGGACAGACAAATCCTACCACAGCACTCAGAAGCACGTGCTCTGTGCAGTGCCATCTGCTCTGCTAAAGCGGTGGCTTCTCCTCTACGGTGCTCCTGGCAAGGGTCCAGCTCTTCGAATAACCAATTTCCTTGCTCCCATCCCTCCTGCAGATACTTTATAACATAGCACTTGTGTACGCCACGATGGAGGACTGGAAGAAAGCTGAGGAGCATCTAACATTGGCAATGAGCTTGAAAAGCGAGCCCCAGCACAACAAGATTGACAAGGCAATGGAAGCTATCCTAGTAAGAAAATGAGGTCTTGGCACGGTGTTTGTCCCTGACAGTCCCACAGGAGGGAGAGAGGAAATCCCAGGGACAGAGAAACCATCCCTTAGCAAGGGCTTTAGCAGAGAATTGAAGATGGCTATACAAAGCATGGGTATCAAACTGAGGGCAGGATTTGCGGGAAGAGCTTTCAGGGCACTGTGGAGGCAGTGATGGGAAGGCTGGACTAAGCAAACCACATCAGGGTTGGGGTTATTGCCCCACTGCCAAGGTGGTGGGTTGACTTTATGGAGTGAGGCCTTAACCAAAGAGGCAGAAGGAAGGTAAAAAACCACCTCTGCTCTCACCTCTGATGAGCACTACGGTTTGTGTCTGCTACAGAAACAGAAGCTCTACAATTTGGTGGCAATTCCCACGGGGAAGCTGTTTCGGCCAAATGAAAAGCAAGTGGCCCAGCTGGAGAAGAAGGACTACCTGGGAAAGGCTACGGTAAGAAAAAAATACCTTGTTTTATTCAAACCAAGCCTGTGAGCTGAAGAGAGCCGCTGACCTCCCTTTGCTTAAGAGCCCCCACTCACTGATCCGTTACCTGCTGCCTGGGGAGCAGGGAAGAGTTATGGGGCTGGTGCGTGCCTTGGGGATCCCTGTAGGGATGGAGGGAGGGGTGACGCGTGAGAACTTCACAGAGAATTGGGACTCTGCAGGAATAGAAGAGCTAAAAGCGTATTTCTGCAGAACCTTATCTGTACAGCTCAGCGTGGTCTATTTCAGCTTCTCTCTTTAGTCAGACATGAGGAACGGTCATTCAGCAATGAGCTGGAAAGGTCTCACTGGAGCAGGAACTTGAGCCTGTTCAGGAGCAGGCGAAGAGGAAGAATTTAGGCTATTTAAAATTTGACACCCACAAATGACCTCCAGTTCTTCCCTGCTCAGTTTGAGACAGGCTTTTCAGCTTAAACAATCAAGCAAGCTTTTCTACCATTAGCATGCAAAATCCAAGCACAGGGACACCATCCTTGGATGCAGGTCCTAGGAGGCAGAATGACCACCTCCGTTGTCAGTATTCCCACAGAACGGAAACCACGAGCCTACGGGTACTAGGCCACCAGATGACTGACAGCTAAGCATCTCCCCTGAAGTCAAAGGTTCCCCTGTAATACACACAAACGTTAATGAACTTTTTAAAACAACGTTTGAAATAGCCTTTAGGAGGCAAGGGCTCCCTTAACTCCCTTGGACATTCCCAGTTAAAACATAAATGGAACTCTCTGGTTTATAACTACTCTAAACACAGCAGTGGTGAGGCTAAGAGCTTACCACAGCTCTGAGGCAAGGTTTGGTGCACTAAAGGACCAAGCCTATAGCCAAAGAGGTTTAGCTGAAATCCTAGCCTGCCTTGAACCTGAAGCATCCATACCTGAGGAGCGGGCTTGCACAACACCAAAGGAGGGCAGACATCAGACAACCGGAGGTCTAAGATGCTACAAGCACCAAGTCACTATGTGTCTGTCTTTGGCTCTAGGTGGTGGCATCTGTGGTAGACAAGGACAGCTTTTCAGGATTTGCTCCGCTTCAACCTCAGGTAAAGTGCCACCAGTTGACAGTGTCCTGAGCACTGCAGCCAGCACGGCATGAGCATCTGGGTGCATGCAGGGACTGGTATCGTCCAGCATCTCGCCAAGGGCTCTGGCTCGTGTTGGTGAGCAGGCAGCAACATCGCTGCCATGAACTTTCTGCTCCTGCCCCAGGAGTAGATGGAGGCACGCATCCACAGCTCAGCTGCTCTGCTCATCATCAGGCTCCGCAGCCCAAACCCACCTACGTTTGTGGGTTAAACTAACCTGGCCCTTGACTGGGAAGCGGAGGCCCGCTCATGCGTCCTTGGCTGTGGGGTTGCCGCTTGCAGTGCAGGGGAGATCTCAAACCCTCACTGTAAGATTCGTTAGGAGTCATCTACCTACACTTGAATCATCAGAGGAGCAGGATGGCTTCTGCTTTCATTCCCCACCTTTCTCTGTTTATGCTGCCTGCCCCAGTTCACAGACCTCTTCATATTTTCATTGCCCTTTTGCTGACGAAGTATAAACATCTGTTCCAGTTTTAAAGGCACTGGAGAGTTTTTACTAGAGTCTTTTGAGAGGGTACAAGGAACTGGGGCTGCTGCAGGCCTATTACTCCGTTATGCAAGACTAAATGCACACTTCTCAAGGCAGCAAAGGGTTAATGCCTTGCTATAGGAGTAAGGACTGCTGTCACATTTCAGTACAAAAGTAACTTCTTCAAAGAGGTGATAAAATCTGCCAGAGACCTCCGATTACTTAGGCAGGAGAGACTGTGAAGCACTACGATGGCAGCTGGGGTTTTACAAGCGTAACAGGAACACATACAGAAATACCAAATTCTACTGTTTAAACCAGGTGTTCCCAAATTCATGAGCTCAACCCTTTGTGAATGCACAAAACCAAAAGCACAGATGCAAATGACATTGTGACTCTGAAAATCGCAAGTGGAAGTGTTCAGAAACTGCTTCTTTGAAGAAACAGAAGCAGTGATATTCTTAACGGCACAGAAGACAGCTGCTGCACGCATCCGAGCGGCAGCGAGCCAGATACATACGCTGACAGTCTGTAAAGCAGCAGAAGACCCTCCCCTAGGTTTGAACTGACTGACCTGAAAAACAGCACGGGAGGAAGGAACCACGTAGGGATGATGTTAGGCAAGGTAGGATGCTGCAGGACTTCTCTGCAAAGTAACTGAAATCCTCTGAATGACAGAGGATTTTCTTTGTCTTTTTGCTCACAGGCCTCCAGTCCTCCACCCAGGCCCAAGACACCAGAAATCCTCAGGTAAGCTGGATGAAATCTGGGCAATTCTGTGGATACACGCAGCCAGGTCCACCCCTGTCCCGCACCATCACAGGCCGAGTCCAACGAGCGCTCAAAACTGAGGGAGGGAAGGGGAACAGATCAGAGGAACAAAGTAGATATCTCAGTCCCCAATGGAAAGTGAAGAAAAGGCACCACCTCCCTTCCTGAAACAACCACTGCTTCCAAACGCAGGGCGCTTGAAGGGCAACCGCACCGAGTCCTGTACGAGTTCATCCCCGAGACCTCTGAGGAGCTGCAGGTCCTGCCAGGAAACATTGTCTTTGTCCTGAAGAAAGAGAAGGACAACTGGGCTACCGTGATGTTCAATGGAAAGGTACCAGGGATGTGCTTGATACAAGGTGGTGGACGCCACGGCTGACACTTCTGCAGAACCTCACAGCTCTGCCAATGACTAGCAGGGCACAGCCACGCTATCGTTAACTAAATGAGTTTCTGCCTTAGCTCCACCGCGTCCCCTATTCAAATAGGAAGGTGGATGTCTTTGGGCAATTTTTTGGGGATGTCTTTGGGATGTCTTAGAGGCAATTTTTACCCCTTGGGAAAACTGGCACAGTAACGGACCCGTAAAGCCCAGCTACTCGTGTCCTGCTCCTGGCATTTCTACCAGACAGAGGACTTGGGTGCCATCCTCAAAAGATGCTATCTTGTTTCTCACAATCTGTCTGAAATGCCCTTCCTGTCCCAGGGGCTTCTTGCACCATGAGATCCACTGTATGTATCCCTGACAGGCTCAAGAAGGGGAAACTGGGACCACACAAAAAAATAAGCAACTCACCCAAGGGCTCCAAAGGCAAGGGGCTGAGTCAGAAAAGAGGGCAGCAGATGGCAGGCCCCCAATCTTGACCCTGCTCCTCAGAGAGCTGGTTATTCAGCACACCTCCCACAGCGATCGATAAGGGGAAGCTAAGACACCCAGGTGTCCAAGCAGCCTTCAGCCCAGAGGCATGCTACTCCACTTGCATGATCACACCCACCTAAGTGAAGCATCTCAGAACTCAGTTCACCCAAGCTGTCCATCTTGTCATACATATACCCCACCAAAGATTTACTCCCTTGTCTTAAATCTCTTGGATGTCCTAGTAAAGTCATCGAATTTGTTTGGCAATTCACATACCCCCTCAACATGGCTTAGGCCACGGGATTCAGTGAATCCCATCCAACCTGTAGCAACTAATCTTCAAGTCTGAGACGCTCTCCTGGATTCCTGGCAGGGCAAGGACAAGTTCACTTGCTTCCTCCAGCAGCAGGCTGCCTCCTGTCAAGCAATCCCCACTTGTCTCTGTTTCCCCACAGAAAGGGATTGTCCCCTGCAACTACCTTGAGCCTGTGGAGCTCCAGAACAGGCTGCAGACCCAGGTAAGGGGACCCAGCACCTATTCTGTGCCTTCCAACATGACCAGCACTCAGAGGTTTCTTTACCAGCACCTGCAACTCCCTTTCACTAGAAACTCCAGAGGAGTCTCTTCTGGTTTGTAGTCATTTTAACTGGAGTAGATGGAGTAAATCTTAACAGGAGTAAAAACTGGGCAGATGATGTGCTGATGGCCCCTTGGGTGGCAGCTGGTAACACTGGGGAGAGGAAAGGGTAGCAAATTCTCCCTCCCCAGTTCAAGACCCCAAATAGACCTTGGGGAAATAGCCAGGAACACGCTCAGCACGCACTGACCCCTGCAAGGTAAGGGTCTCCCTTCCCGGCGCTAAAATTATGCAGTGCCACCCCCAAACGACGGGTCGCAGGGATGCTGTGCTCAGCTCCCCCCCCACATCCTGCCTTGGTGGGCTGGAAGGGAAGCTCGCAGGGCAGCAGTGCCCCACTCCCTCAGGCAGGGGCTGACTGATAATGCTACTCTCTTCCCATCCTACACAGGAAGAAATCTCTCCCGAACCCGAGATCCCGGAGCCGCCCAGCTCCAGTGCCCCAGAAAAACCCCGGCGGCCAGCACCAGGTCAGTGATGGGGAACTGAAGGGACGGAAGTACCCTGTGGGCAACCCTCTCCTCACTGCTGCATCCTTATGCTTTCCCCCATTCGCCGAGATGAGGGCTGGGATCCATCTCCATCTAGCTTCTGGCCCCTTTGGACCCATTTGCTGTCAAAGATAGAGAGGAGACACAACCTGCCACTGCAGTGCTGAGGATGGAGTAAAAGCGAGGACCTGGATCCCAGGGGAGAGCAAGTCCCTTTGTGCTTTTAACTAGCACAGCAACTATGGGAGAAAAAGGGCCTGGGGACAGGAACAGGGCAAGCGACCCAGCTTGTGTAAGTCCCAGAGCAGAAAGTTCATTAAAAGCTTCTCCTCAAAGCAGGGCACCTGGGATTATTTTAGTGCTGCTGTGTGTTGTGCCAGTTTTGAAGAAGCTGTGATTGCCCAGGGAAGGGGGGGTCCTCGCTGGTTTCTCTAAGAGCTGCCGAGTGTCCCGAGGCCTAAGCCATTCCCGCAGGCCTGGCCAGCACCACCTGCAAGGACGCCAGCACCGAAGTCACCAAACTGCCCAGAGCGTAGGCAGATACGGAGAAGGTACAGGAACCTTTAATCCTGCCCAAAGCCACAAATTTCTCCCCTGCTTGCAGGGAAGCTACAATTCCTATAATAATATAACCACAGAGGATGGAAAATATCACCACGCACAGAGCTTGCTGCACAGACATTACCCAGCTCCAGCACGCTCCAGCTATTGAAAGCTGACCTGCCAATACAAATAGGAATTTGTGAACAACCTAACCCCCCCACCCCCCCCCCCAGCCAGTCCGTGGCAGTGAAAGGTGATGGACTGATGGCTCAGAGACCAAAAGACTGATAAGACCAGGCCGTTTCAGCCAAGCTCACCTGGAAGGTAGGGACCAGACTTGCGTCACCAATAGAGCAGTCTCACATGGAGTCGAGTAATAAAGTTGATACAGAAGGTGGTTGTAGCTTACAAGAATTGGAAATAGCTGAATTTCTACTTTCTTTATTGGCAGACAGAGCCCTCTTGTAACTTGGCACGAGGCAGAGCCTTGGCCAGACAAACTGCCTAACACCTCCCAAAACTGGGGGGGGGCCGAAGGACTTCCAGCAAAGAGGAAACAGAAGAATCAGCAACAATTTCATTAAGGGAGGGGTAAAAAGGATAAGAAAAGGCTTTCCCTTTCCCCTAAGTGAAAATTTAGTTTTAATAGAGATTTGTTTTTTCAACAGATTTTTCAGCTAGTAGAATATCTAAAAAATTTCAATCTAAACATTGACCCTTCAAAAGTTTGAATGTCCAATTCCCACCTCGCTCTCCTCTAAGTGTAAGCAACCACAATAACCCTGCGGGCTGAGCTGCCAATTGCTAAAACTTAGCCTTTTACAGCAAACATCTCAGGGATCCAACAATCTCAAAAAGCATCTTTATGGCACCAAAAGCCATCACAGATCTAGCAGTAGGACTGTACTAAGCAGCAGAGCTCTGTTTCTTCCCATAACAAGCACCGTAACGTCAAACCGTTGACAAACCTTAGAGCAGATCCTTGTGAACAGACTTCAACGAACCTGTACCAATTTGCCTTAGCTGAAGGCCTGATTTTAGTTTTTTTTAATTCCTGTGAAAGACAGGGGTTGCCTCCAGTTTTCAGTACGGACCTGGAGGGATCAGAATAGCAAAGGTACTCAAAATAACAGCTTTGCCTTCAACAGTAAAGCACTTCCAGAACAAGCTGAATTCACGCTGGGTTACTGATATTCAGCACCTTAAAAATCACCTCCCTTCCTCAAGGCCATAGAACAAGCTTAAGGAGCACAGGATTCCCGGTCTAAACTCAACTACTTACCTTCAGGACAAGGAGGGCAAGCAGTACACAAGACCGCAGCCTGCTCTCACCACAGGGAGCGGGGCTCATCTTTCGCCCTAAACACCCGTCCCTGAGCCCCCAGACGGCTGACCACTGGCTCTCGGCTGCCATCAGTGCTGGGATTTACACTGTCGTTGCAGACTCGCAGCGCTGCAGAGAGACAACTCGGAGAGTTACAGCACAGAAAGCTCCTATTTCGTCCGCGTGGTCCAACATTTACCGTTATGCAGTTGCAAAAATAGTCACGCAAGGTGGAGCGTAAGATATGTAGCTATTGGTGCTTGCAAATATTTTTATATTTTTTAAAAGTTCACTCAGCAACAACCTACCCTAAAGCTCCTGTCTCTATGCAAAACAGGCTTTACAATGTGAAAACCAGCATTGTAAAGTTCTGAAAAAAGGCAGCTCCCAAGAAGGAAAGCACAGGGCCCAAACCTCCTCTTGGTGGTTACCTCTCAACCCTACAGATGAATCTCACCACAGCTGATGCCACATCCATTTGAGCATGCTCCGGTGTTGGTTGTTATTGCTGCAGATAACGACAGGTATCAAAGAGGAGGGCTGCAGGACTCCTAGGCATGTGTTTATACTCCGAGCGGTAACGCTTACCCCATTCCACTCACTGAGCCACCTATTTCCTCTTCTTCAGACTTCGTTCCAGTTACTGAGACGCAGCCAAGAGAAGAACCGAAGGTAACATCATGTGTTGGTATGGGAATCACGAGGAGGTAGATGCCTACGCTTCATGTTATAAACCAGCATTTATTACATATTGGAAGGGAGCTGACATGCCTTACAAGCACCACAGCCTGTGACTGTTTCGGGTGTTTGTCATTCAGCAGCTTCTCCAAAGCACAACACCTGGGCTGGGGGCCAGCAGGACATCAGGCCCCAGATGGGTAATGCGAGTCTGGCAACCTGGCCTGGCCACTAGGGCTGCTTTTTGGGAGGTCTTGTCCAGGTCCCCACCTGCTGGATCTGGGACTTGGCAGAGCTCCCATACTAGTTGTCTCAACGCAACCTGACTGACCCGCACACTCGAGACAGGAGAGTTAGAGAGCTCAGCCATTACTCTCATACTTCTGGTCAAGGTCGGTGCATTGGCAGGGCACACAGGGGAGAGGGACAAGGACAGGGACAATACAACAATCCCAACTGGAAACAAGAGAACGGGGTGGGAGAGGGACACCTTAAACTTGCTCACCTAGAAAGCTGCAATATGGCCCAATCTATCGCTACAGTCTCTCCTGGGATAAACCCAGGGCAGCTAACCAGCCACACATGCAACAATAGCTTTGGTGGCATCAACGCTGACCTGCCCAGAAGAAAGCATTAATGGCTACCAACAAAGATGGCGAACAGGTTAACAGAGATGGCTCGTGACCAGCAGGCAGCTGTTTTCATTTCCTGATGCCCCACAGCTGAGATTTTCCTCAGGCAACAGCAGCTTCGATGTTGCAGTCACATAGACCTGCTCTACCTGTCCTTGACAAGCCACACTTGCTCAGGGCACTGTGAGCATGGTCAGCCTCTCACATCCTGTTTACTACCCACAGAAGGCCAAAGCTGCCAGCTCCGGACCCTACGTTCTCAAGGCACATTACAAGTTCACAGTTGCCATGCAAGTCAAGCCAGACCTCTCCTACAACGAACTCCTGGACTTGGTCTGCCAGAAACTGGAGCTCCAGCCAGAGCACACAGAGCTGAGGTGAGCCGCTGCCTGCTGCCAGCAGCAAGAACCTAATTTGCAGGGCGTCCTATCCTTACGCTGCATCCTCTGCGTGCCCAGGTACAAGCCTGCAGATAGCGAGGCGCTGGTGACTTTGAGTGCCGAGAACGTGGAAGCGGCTTGGAGTCACACCAAAGACAAGTGTCTGACAGTGTGGTGTGACAGCACAGAGGTCAGTGACAGCGGTTGCAGCCAATTCTTCTGCTTGTTCCCAGCAAAGGTCGTGCTAGTAAAGGCTGAAACCTAAGCAGGAGTTACCCTTGCTCTCCTTGCCACAGGCACAGGCTTGGGGCTTTCAAACAAACCTGGCAACCCCTTAAAAGGCAGATGAGTGAAGGTGGGTGAAGGAGAGAAGGAGAGCTTGTCTTTTATAGTGAGGTATAAGAGGGAAAAGCCACGAGGTGTCTTAATAACTCACTTCCTGCCCTAGGGCAAGGGATCTCTACCAGAAAGCAAACCAGAGGAGGAGGCCCAGAAGGCAATGTCAGAAGAGATGGGACCAACCCAAGTTGTAGCACAGTACAATTATGAAGCCACCCAGCCTGAAGACCTGGAGTTTCAGGCAGGAGATGTGATACTCATTTTATCCAAAGGTAACTGTGCTCCTGTGGTGAAAGGGGAAGGGAAGGGAAGGACCTTCTGGCTTTGGAGAGAGCGCGGGCCTCAGATGCCAAGCACCTGCAGCACACTCTTAGGTTCAATGGCAGCTGTAGGTCCCCAGCATCTGCCAGTCAGGCCAAAAACTCTCAAGCATTTGGTCAGACAACCAACACATCCCAGTAGCACTTTAGCCAGTTTTTCAGTGGCGCCTGCCAGCTTCATTAGGGGCTTTGATCTCGTCCCCCAAAATCTCTGCTTCTCCACAGCAAGGATAACCTAAGAACACACACAAGATGTTCATCTGCTTTCCTTTACATCCTTCTGGTTTCCAGAGGTACCAATCTGCTCCACCCTGTGAAAGTTTAGCGCCCAGCCTACTGAGGTGGGAGCAGTTTCAGCTTTGCATGCAACTGCACCAACAGGGTTTTCAGCTTACCGGCTAATTCTCTGGAGCCACGAGACAAGCAAGGCTTAAAGTCTGTAAGGCCACTTTCTAGAAGTGCTTTCTTCCACTCGTTGCACTTGGTGGTTCAATGCATGCATAACTCATCCAGCTCTAACCGGTGTTCCCATTCAAATCTCAATGTCATACATACCTCTTCCAGCATATACCCCTATTTTTGCTGCCCCCTTCCCTAAACACATTCAAGACTGGAGGGTTTCGCTTGAGCCATTTTACGTTTACCAATCAATGTGTTTATTCTTAAAGGAGGTGCCTCATTTTGGCCACCCCACCACGCCTCACATTACAAACAAAGGTATAGCTATATTCCAGAACACTATCCATCAAATTCCTGTCACCTCACACCTTTTTCTGGCTTCTCTTCTTTTTAAGGGTACAATCTTACACTAACCTCAGTCCTCCTGAATATTAGGCATTAGTGCTTTCATGAGATTTCAAACTTAAATACAGGTTAGGACTCACAATAAGATGGAGCACATGATTTTGGCTTTGATCCTTTCAAGTTCGCGCAGAACATGCAGCAGGGAGGACAAGGTTATTGCACTCCAGCAAAAGCTGCAGGTGAGCCCAAATAAGGTGAAGGTAGCAACCCTGCACGGGGCAGCCATTTCCCTCCTTGCTCAAGCCCGGGCGGAACCACGATAGCAGAAGCGGTTTTAAATGCAAAAAGTCACCTACGATTACTTTGCGTTACATGCAGCATTACATCTAATTTGTATCCCCTGGCACGATTAGGTAGCTCTACACATGCCATCTTAATTCCTCCTCCGCTGCTGTACGGACGAGTTTTTGTACCATACAGCGACCATGACGCCGCCCTCCAAGATCCTACTCTCCCCTATGCTGAGCTACATGTTTCCCATTAAAAAGCTGGTTCTCTTCTCATTTGGTAAAAGCTTTCAGAGCTTGCAGCTTCACTCATCCTAGGGTAGCAGGATATTTTTGTTTGTTTGTTTGTTTTTGAAACAACACTTCAACAGTTCATCTCTATACCTTGAAGATGGTAGTCCAGAGTCTCCCATTCGCTTTGTTCCTACTGGTTTTATTCAAGGCAGCTACTGGACCCAGAACTACTGAGCAAATAACAGCTCGAAGACCCTAAAACTCAAATTCTCAGCAGAAATAAAACTGCCTGCTACTGACGACAATTTTAGATTAAAGACTGGACTTTGTGGAATATTTTAGGAAATAAAACCAATGCACACTTTGTAGCCATGATTTACATGAAGGCAGTCAGACACTGAGGAAAGACAGTGGTATGAGGCCCTTAACACTTACAGGTTCATTTGCCTATATAAATTACAATCTGCTTCTAAATATACCTTGGTTCCTTTTGTCCCTGTCCCCCACCCTCATTATTTTTGTAAGTTGCTTTCGTAAAACAAGAAAGCTTATTTGAAGTTTTCTGGCACAATTTATTCTTTTAACAAACTTGTCTGATATAGCTAAAAAAAAAAAAAAAAAAAAAAAAAATCACAGCACATTATCCTGAAGTTTAAGGAACACTGCTGCACACATGGCTCAATAAAAAAAAAAAAAAGATAACCCTGGTCTCCACTTTGATCTTCCCTCCCCTTAGTCTGGCAGTGTAGTCTTTCTTACCTTAACAACTTTGCTGTCTATCTCATTCCTCCTTGGTCTTTCTGACTCCTGTCTCCTCAGTCACCTCTCTGCCAGGCTTTAGCATAGCTATTTAGGTAGCAGAATATCTTAAAAAGGTAATTGCAGGCACGACTGTAGCATGTGAAGGTGTGATGGCACATCTGAAGCATGCTCCTGTATGTCCCTAGGGTAACAAAAATTGTGTAAATTTTTTTTATCTTCCAGTGAATGAAGACTGGTTAGAAGGCCAGTGCAACGGGAAGATAGGCATCTTCCCATCTGCTTTTGTTCAGAAGTGTAACACTAAAGACCCAGAAATCTAATTGCAGAAGAGCTGTAGTAGTCTTGGACATGGAGAGAAACTAAGGATTTCAACTGCTGCAATTAAGATGTTTCTATATTAATCACTGCATCTGAAAAAGGACCCAAAATATCATTGCTACATGTATTAAAAGCTTTATTTTAGCTTTTTTGCATCATTTCTCTAAAACAGGTACTCATTCCTAAAAAAAAGTTGCTAATCATCTTCCTGCTGGGAATACATTCAGTCCTAAAAACTGTACTTACCAAGAGACTTCCTAGCAAGAGCTGTCCCACCTACCTCATCCTTAACAAAACTTTGGCACAGACAAGTCAGTCACTGGGAGAACTCTCAGAAAAGGCAGCACAACTTGCATTTATGCCGCTGCCAACAGATACACGAGAGGAACAGGCATTCAGGAAGCCAAAGACCAGGAAAGGCTGAACAGAATTTACTGCCTCTAAATTTTGCTGCCGACCTCAAGAGTTTAAACAAAAGGCCTTGAGCAGCCTCCCCCTGCTCCAATTGACAGTCCATTTCAAACCCTCCCCCTCACTAAAATATTTTTTTTTTCCCCCACCTTTGGGGCCTCACCTCAAACCACTTGCCCAGCCGCCACAACAGGAAGTTAAAGACACTGCCTCGAATTGCAGTACAGTTACAGGAGCTGGAGAACCCCACCTTCCCCAGTAGCCTAAATACTCGTATTTATTTTAAAAGGAGCTTGCTTGGAAGAGCTGTCTGGATAAAATAAAACGGACGTTTCAACAGCAGGACATCTCTATGGTTTCCTCGATGCGCCTTTGACAAAATTTGAAGCATGCTTGTCTGGGAACTGCGCGTAAGTGCCATCCTGATTTACATGCAGGTCAACCGCAGAAGGACTTGCAGCCTCCAGCCCCCAAAGTCCGCGCTCTACCGGTTTCAAAGCAATCCGCCCTGCAACTGATGAACAGCTTTGCAAGCTCTACCCCCACCCCAGAGTTTTGGTTCCGTACATAACCCACAGGCAGCCCAAGACCACGTCCCAATTATCTGCGCTGAGCCCAGGCTAGAATCTCTGCAATTTATTTAGTTCTATTTCAAACAACAACAACAACAAAAATCAGTTTCAAACCTTGTTCCGACTTCTCCAGAAAAATAACGCATTTTTTTAAAAGCCTGAAGTCGAGTTACACAGAAAATAAAGGCTACACACAGACCTGGATGGAGAGAACATGGTTTAATTAAAGGCAAAGCTGATTTCAGCAGCTGCAGTTCTTGCACAGACAGACAAAAAACACAAAAAAAGAAAAAAGCTTACGACACAAACCAGTTTCTGCTGGGGTCCCCGTTCCTCGCTACCCCAGGCATCGGAGGGCGGGAGGGGAGTCCCAGCCGAGAGCCGGACGCATTCCTACCACCGGAGTCTCATGCACGAGTGGAACGGTGCGGCTGGGACCCTGGCACTGCCGGGAGGGAGATGGCTGAACCTGGTTCGCTCGTCTAGGGTGCAAGAGTCAGTGACAGTTCAAACACTGGAATGTCGCAGCTGCCTGGGTGCACGGCTCAAATACACAAACTGGGAGGGCTGGAGAGAAGTACGGGGCGGGGGGTTTGGTTCATATTACCACTGGGCGGGAACTCCACTTTTTGGACTTTTTGAAAGGAAATACACCTTCGAAAAGCAACAAAGAACAGTGATGTTGCTAGGGTGGAGAACGCGGGGGAGCTGCTCATACCCTAGAAAGGGTATCAAGTCTCAGTCTTCCCTTTTTATATTCTTTGGGGGTGCCCCGACTCCAGTGTCACTTAGGCTCCTGCGTGTGCTTTGCTCTGCAGCCGATTTCCAGCTCAGAGGTCCTGAATCATCACACAAACCCCTACCGCTAAACACAGCAAACGGACATTGAGATTGCTTCCGTAACTTCCCTGGGAAACCTAACAGAAATGCTGTCCTTTTCTTTAACGAAGCTTCCAGTCTTCCGACCCCCTAATAAATAGCAAATAAAACATTTCATTTTTCCCTTCTGCACCTTCTCATGTATGAACAGCACTACGCTTTCTTCCGTGTGTGGGTTACACACGTGTGTCCATGGTGCTTTGAATTTCATTCTGGAACTGAAAGTTGGGGGCTGCAGCTGTGGGGAGGGGGGCTGCAGAGCTGACGTGTGCCTAGCGGGGGTTGCACGCTCCACACCATCCAGGCGGACTGTCTTCTTTACCCAGTCCTGCTGGAGCCCTGATTACTTTCTGCGAGGTGTTGCACATCAGTAATAAAACTGCTAGCGTCCAGCAAAGATGGGAGGATGGGGAGAGAAAGAAAAAGAAAAAGCCATTGAAAGCTTGCTACCTACCTATTAAAAATGAGTCAGGCTGTGAATGCACAGACTAGCCTGCCCTTCGTGGGGCTAGCCACTATGCTACAGTAAAATGTACAGGAATCAAACATTAATTTAAAACCCCATAGCAGTTAACTTGCTTGACCAGCAGAGTGCTGCAATGCCCCGTGTCACCAATTATAGCTCAAACACCTACTGAGAGGAGGGCATTTCACGCTGGAGTCTCTAACCCACGCAGGGGCTGGCCAGAGCCTTTGAGCGAAAGGTGAAGTGGTGTCAAGTGCCAGATTCTCCTTCACGAAGCTCCTTCACTAGCCCAGGAGATAGAGCCCCACCTTGCCACCACCTACCTCTGACCAGAGCAGCAACTGGGGCTTTCATTGCTACACACTGACTACAAAGCACGTCTGTGTACGGAAGAATTCAGTGTGATCTTACTACTGAGATAGTAATAATAAAGATGTTTAGGAGTAATTTCAACTACATTCTCAGTCAGCAAAGCAATCATTAATGGATTCCTATTTTATCTCCCCAAAGAGAGGAAAAGGATCGAGAAGTTCTCATTGGCTTCTCCCATCTGCCCTTCATTCTCAGCCTTTACTTCCCATGTGGCTAGGGACATGCACGATGGAGAAGGTGAGAGGCGGTGATATCGGGTTACTGAGTGAGACAAACAGCAGTTCCTCTCTCCCTCCAGAGGGCCCAGGGATGGGAGAGTTCCTGATGTTGTTTTCTCACGCTGCAGACATTTTGTGCACACTCAGTGGGTTGGTGGAGCACTTACGCCCTCCTGACAGCAAGGAACAGAAGAGAGGGCTGCCACCTGCACAGGACTGTGTGGGCCAGTCCTGCAAACCCAACATGCCATGGTTTATGGAGCCTTCGTTTGCAAGGGTCGCCACCTCATTCTCAATGCGGCGGGTTCATGGTGCCTTGTCCACGTTGCTGCTTCTGCTTCTGCTGCATTAACAGCTGCTCCAGGGCTGAAGGGCCAGGATGCATCATGGAACTGGACCAGATGGACTAAAAACAAACAGTCAACACTAGCACCTTCTTGCTCAAGACAGCCACCTTCTTACAGACGAGAAACAGAGTCTGTTTTCTCCCTCTTCCCTTTAACACTTGCACCTTCCTTATCATGAAAGTTATTCAGACATCAAAGGCCTTGTAAAGAGAGGCTCCTCTAAGAAACTCATTCTCCTCCAAAATTCTCATTACCACAAAAATTCATCCCACATTAGCAATCACTAATTTTACACCAATAAAAGCAAACATTTCAATTTCTTCCAGTTCTGCCAACCTAACCCTGTTCCACAAAACATTCCAGAGCAGCAAGAACAGAAAAACTGTGACATCTTCCAGCACCAGTCACACCTCCCACATTGCCTACGTAAGTGAATCTGCAGGAGACGCCTCCAATTTCTGACGTTGAACTCTGGTGTGCGGAACATAGCGACGTACTCTGCCTAAAGCTCATCACTCTATCTTCCGGCCCCACAGATCAGCACCCATCTCCGAGTACAGCTTCCAGCTAAATATACCTTCAGGCTCTCCATGAGCACAGCTGAGGAGTCCTCCATAGGGGGACCTTGGGCTGCCCAGGTGCCACTGGGAGTGCTGGACTGGTGCCAGCTGCTCTCTGAAGACGAGGATGTTGCTGGGAGATAGTCCAGACCAAATCCTCCCATCGCTAAAGCGTGAGAAAGAAACAAGTTAAAATGAATGCATCAAAACCTTCGCAAAACAAATGCCAACAGCTGGCTTCATGCAAGCCTGGACTCCAGCACTTGCCTGGCTTATCTGTTTTCCAGCGGTCTGCGATTCTCCTGTCTCTGTTGTCTGGAGTCCCAATAGGTCCGAAGTTGGAGAAGGGAACAGAGTTGTGGTTATGGGTTGGAGGGGAGCTTGGCAAGCTGCTGGGGTTGGAGGAGTGAGGAGACTGGCTGGCTGGTGTCGAATGATCTAGAGGTTACAAGGCAAGAGCAAAAAGGTCAAGATAAACGGTACAATGCGCCTCATTTGGCCTTTTTGCAGTGCTGCTGCAAATTCTGCCATCACGCAGTTTTCTCAGTACTCAAGGTCAGTTTTCATGCCCTCCGTTACATAAGCATATTGTAAATTCCTCAATTCTGAGCGAAAAGTTTTTCGCCTCTACAAGAACAGAATGACTGTGTGTAATGCATACACGCGTTTACCAGAACACAATTCTTCCAGAAAACCCCAAGAGGGTTGGCTAGCCAACAAAGTAAGCTTTCCCCATGTTTCAGTCCTGAATGGCTTTTCTCAAAATTAAAAAATGTGTATGTGTATATATATATATATATAAATAACAACAAAAAACCCACAAATTCTGTCTCCCAGCTTGACAAGCCTATAAAAGTGACTTCAGTCCTCAAGGAGTTTGCAAGTTTACAACTCAAACTCCTAAACCTGTTCTAGACTTCAAAGTCTGAAAGCAGCTCAGACCAGTACCAAATATTGAGCAAAGGAGGGGAGCAAACATGGAAAAGCTCATCCAAAGGCAGGACAGAACAACGCCTAAAGAAAATACAGCGTGGCAGGACGGTATATGGTCTTAGATGAGGAGGTAAAGTGAGAGAAAGCTGAAAGCATGTAGTGCCATAAATCCTACTGGAACAGAAGTACTTAGCAGCTCCTTCCATTTCACCTACAACGGTTATCTCTGGTTGGTGGCACAAATCTCACTATGATCAAGAAACTCACCATAGCGGATGTCATTTTAAATATACTCATTCTTAGTTTCAGCTAATTCTTTCCCTCCCCGCACACTCTTCTGTATTTACAGTTAGCGTAAAAGCACAACATAACTACAATACGTTTTATATCTCTAACGAAAATCAGTAAAGGAAAAGCTAGTTTGCTTTGTGACCTGCCTTAGAGGAAAAAAGCTTTCAGATTTTCCTCAACACGCTCCAGTCATCCATTTTTTTTACCCCTCTTTGAAAAATTCACATCATGAAATCCAGTCTTTCCTGCTTTGGCTGAGCAAGATTGAAAGCGTAGGGATTTTTGAGTTTTTAAGCTCTACTCTCAAATGCCTGTCAGGAATCCAAGTTAAAGAGATTTCAGGATTTAACACCTCCTAAAACTTTTATCCTGCTCAGCTACTTAACTACAATTTAGATTCTTACCCTATAATAATTACAGAATCCCCTCATATTTCTGAGGGTAGATAAAGAAAAACAGAATCCTTTATACTTTGTTAAGCAGATTTTTTTAAATTTCCTATTACTTTTACCTCGCAATAGGTTCAGAATTAACTCAAATCCTCTTAAGTCACTGCACACAAGAGAAATCATACCAAGATTACCTGAGCTGGCTGGAAGGGATGGAGACCACGGCGTCCCTTCAAACAGAGAATATAGTGAAGTCTCCTGATGGGCGACTGAAGGGGTGACTTCTGTTTTTGTGCTGGTATTCATGTTTTTCCC